CGATGAAAGGGGTCTTGATGACATACTAATAGTCAAACTTCTGAGGAGAGGTGCAGATAAGAAATTGAGAATATGCACGCCATCAACATAGAGGTGAGTGAGTTGTGCCACTGTAACCGGCGCCTGATCTTTGGCCTTGCTTATCCAAAGATGACACCTTCTGAGCTTCGGTAGTGTTGAAAGAAGGCGAAAATCTTCTGGATCGGCGATAGTCCCAGAAAAATGGGTTACGCTGGGCGGTAACTTTATCTGATGGAGCTTGCGCGCGCGAAGACTTGTTTGCCATAACTGCGGGGCACGCGAGCATACGTCCAAGTGATAATCAGAGCTATAACCATAAATAAATATGTCAATCGCTTGCAGCGCTGGAAACTGCGAGATAGATTCGAAGTGGCGCATATATTGCTTGATAGTGAAGATGCGTAATTTCTTCCACCTTTGGTAGGATTGAACAAGCAGAGACAGGATTGTATCGCCTTTTATCGGTTCGGGGCAGTCGAAACGTAGATGGAGGAAATGTTCGCCTGTGAGCTTGAGATAGGTCTGCAATATCTCGGGAGCGTGTTTGGAGAATGGCGCCTGCACGACAAGCTTCCGAGCCCAGGACGCTGGTGAGCTGTGCAATATATCCCTCCAAATCCCACAGACGCGACTCAAGATCCAGAGAGGCCCGGATAAGTTCAGACTATGGAGTCGCTGTGGGAAGCTCCAGATCTCATCTGCTTCCTGCCACCAAGAATCGCAAACAGAATCGAAGATTTCGATGAGAATATCGCGGGGGAGACGACGGATGGGGGCATAAATTGATTTACGACGTTCAAGGGCTTTCAGGCCAGCACATTGACGGAACCGGATCTCTTCAAGCTGGGCAGCATACAAGGATTGCAGCTGTTCCAACTCGACAATTTCGGCGTTGAGCAGTGCATGGTCAGAGTCGAGCAATGGTCGTTGCCCACGTAGAATTTGTGAAATGAGGCTGTCGGAGATGTTGGTATTTTGTGGCTGTGGCTCGAGAACGAATCCACAGTTGCGGCACGACATGAAGGGCGAAGGCAAGGATACACTAGCACGTGGCCTGCCTCTGCCTCCCTTTATGCTCTCATCAGACTTGTCATTGTTGTCCATCCCTTTGCATTTTTACATTATCCTTTCGTAGTGGCATTGCATTTCTCGAGAATTTGTGAGAAACACCGCCAAACACGCCTATTCATCGGATTATGGGTCGCCACACGGTACTAATCTGGCAGCAACAAAGTAATGGTGAGCGGCTCCTTGTATCTCGACTACTTTATCTAGCATTCATCTCTAGATGTCACCACTATCTTCCTGGTTCTATTGACACAGTGTTCGACTCAACACCCTTCATTTTCCGTCAAGTTCGCTCCCAGTCTATAGTAACTCACAGAATTTGCTCGCACGACAACGCTGACAACACCCTCACTCTAAAGGGCAGGAATGCAGTGGTCTTCACTCTGTCAGAACGTGGTGTGGGAAAGAAACTTCGGGAAGTACCACCCAAAGTCACTGTCACACTACCATCTCTCAATCGCGGTAGAAATTCTTGACAACTCTAGTCAACGACCTTTGGCACCGCGTGCTGTTGTTCATAACATCTCAATGCATGATCCCAGAATAACACTGATATTCGTATCTAACAGGTGTACAGACACTAATACATTGCCAACCAAGGACGACGAGAAGAATGTAACCAGTACGGTGCCTTCCCCCAAGTGTTAGCACGAAATGGCCGAACACGCTAATAGAAAAAGCTCACCCCGAATGGACGACTACGCGCCAACTCCATCTCCCCAGGCACGTAACGCGTTTACTCACTGTAAACCCCAGTCAGCCTCCAACGCGACCATACAAAACAATACACTTACAGGAGGGACAAGGTGATGTCACCGTTGACCTTGGCCTGGATGGCAATCTCGACTTCGAGGTTAAGGTCAAGGCGCAACTTCAAAGCTGCGGGAGGGGCAACAGCCTGGCGCTCAGAGCGGCCGACGATCTGTCCACCGAGGACGGAAGAAGACTGGGTAGGTGCGTATTGGGTTTGTGGGGCAGACATTGTGATAAAGAAAACTACTCGACGAGCTAGGTCTTTTTATAATCACTACTCTAGCGTTGCGGGGTATTCGGCCCGGGAACTATGCTCGTAACCATTGGTTTTTCATTTGAATATACATGGAAGCTTGCAACTTTGCCTCGTTGACGGGAAATTTTCTGATGCGGTAGGACTAATGAATACATTCGTGAGAATCTAAGAGTCGAGCCTCTCTCTTCCTCCCATGATGCATGAACGTGAACACTTCCAAGTTTTTTTTATTCTCGAAGGTGCCCCATTTCTAGGCTGTTACGACAAGGCTAGTTCCCGTTTGTCGCTTCACTCCAAATGGAGAAGCACAAGCAAGGAATTATCGCCTTACCCGCACGGATCGTTCCCGCAGAACTTGGCGACCCAAGAGGTACCCGGGTGTTCGAACCTCGAACGTGTTTTGTAATGACAACCCACGAAATTTAACCCGGACCTCTCTACATGGACTTCTCTTCTCATCTAATGCGACGACGAGGCACCCGAGTTGCTAAATGCATGGCGCAATCCATAACGTTGCCCTCGCCCCGGCTCCCCTCCTCTCTTTGTCCTAATCTGGGGGGGGGGGCGTACTCGTATAAAAGGATCACCTAGCTGAGCACTATTCTCCAGCTTCAATATGTCTGCCCCACAAACCCAATTTGCACCCACCCAGTCTTCTTCCGTCCTCGGCGGACAGATCGTCGGCCGCTCGGAGCGCGCTCCCGCACCCCCCGCATCCGTGAAGCTGCGCCTTGACCTCAACCTCGAAGTCGAGATTGCCATCCAGGCCAAGGTCAACGGTGACATCACTTTGTCCCTCCTGTGAGTTGGTTCTCGTCGTCTGGGGGGTGTCCCTGGCTGACTGTTTGGTTTTCAGCGAGTAAATGTGCTACCAAGCACAGGGAGAGGGTTTGGGGATTATGCTCGACTCGTTCTGGTAGGTTTAGTCTGCTAGGTGTTAATTTCTGATGATGTTAATGTGTATCTGTTTAGCGTCAATTACCTTCTTCTGCCTTTTGTTGATGTTGTATTAGTGTAGTGCATGCCAATATGAATGTCGAAGTTTCGGAATCTTTAGAACTTGAGGTACTCAGAGCCCCTAAAGCTTCATGGAAATGGGTCGATGGCGTAGCTGGTTATCGCATCTGTCTAACACCGTGCGGTCTCGTATAATGTTCACAGAAGGTCCTCAGTTCGAACCTGGGTCGACTCACTCGTGCAAGAAATCCGAACATGTAACTCGATGTTGCTTCGGGATGCAACTATAAATCTCATGAAGTCATTCCACGAGATGCAGCATACAATGCCTTTTCTCCCTTACCTGTCGAACTGGAGAGTATTTCCCGGTGTTCTTTCGAATTTATGCGCTTCCCTTTTTGGACTCAGTTCCGGCTGCTATCACGATCATCGATACCGCGTAACGCTTCCCAGAATGAAACCGCTCTCTGTATCTACCCTTATCACGACCAGCTCTGCTTATCCCTTTGATTTTCTTTTCCACTGGCCTTGCCTTGCTGTATGAGCCCAAAGACAAAGAGAAATTGAACGGGATACCGTGAGGACCACGCCTACTACTCACCGCCCAGCAGTTCGCGAATGTTGGTGTCACCGGCGTATGCCACAAGGAACGGCTGGGTGGGATACTGGTGTATCGGTGAGTAGTTCCTTGTCTTTTGACTACTGTATTCCACCTTCATCTAGATGTCGCCACTGTCTCCCCGGGCACCTCGTTCAATCCCGCAAACCCTTGATTTCTATCTCGTTCTCCTCCGGCACTGGTCTCCCTTATCGTCTCTCTTCTGTAATACATCTCATCTTGGACCACAAAAGAGTTTGTTTTCGCAGACAGCTGGGTCTGTCGCCAGGGAGGAGACCCGTGTGCTTGTACGTTCTTCTGATCGTCCTCAATAAACGACGCCCTGCTACTCCCTCATCATGGAGAAGAAATGAAATATCAATTGATGTTCCCGGCGCCTCTATGGAGCTATAAAAATGACTGTCCAATCTATACAAAGATAGATCTTATGTTCCCCTCATCCGGAAACTGACTCAAACATGCGCGCGCCGTTCGATACGTCACGTCAGTCCAGGTCTCTCCCATACTGGTCGTGAAATAGGGCAGACTGGTCCCTTATTTGCACGAACGGAACATGACACTCATCGCCAGTAAGTAATCTGTTAGATATTCTCTCACTGCTGTGCTCAAAGTTATCTAGGTCCGCGCTACCACGGCACAATAATGAATGGCCGTACCATTATCACGGAAAGCGAGCATCCCGACACCCCTCGACCTCTTCTTATCTGACGATACCCTAACCTCTATGTATCCTTTGTCGGCTGGATTTGCTTTCAGCTATCATAGCGACCGGAGAGCGGATGGACATCGAGCAAAAATTCATTCTATCAAGGTAGCCGCAGGTCTCTATCTATCTACACTGGCGCTTGGGACATCGGCGTAGTCGCTGATCGTACTCTGACATCTGCAAACCGACGTCCTCATCTTCATGTCTGTTGGATTCACGTATACACAGGTGCAAACGTAGCAAACCCGAGCGACTTTGAGAGACATCCTTTCCGCCACATAGCAGGCGGACATTATGTTGGATCAACGATGCAATGCCGGTTTCCCTCCTCCCATATACAACACCAACATGTACGTCTGGACCTTGCTTGGGACCCCAAATGCACTCAGACCTGGCGTTACGGAGGGAGTAAAAATCTGTGCCGAAAAGTCCGCATCAGCATCGTCAGTGTCCTGCACTCGTCTTTTGTTCTAGGTCTGGGTTTGCCCCCGGTTCCTTTTTGGCGCAAGTGCCGACAAGATATAGGGCTTGTTCCCATTATCATTCGAAAGGAATGGATCAGTTACTGTTGCGTGTGGGCTCCATATCCTGATTCCCGATGCGTTCCTTAGCGTTGTGTTGGGTCGGTGGCGTAGCTGGTTATCGCATCTGTCTAACATAATTCTTTAGCATCCCTTGCACAGAGGGTCCTCAGTCCGAACCTGGACCGACTCATCTTTACTTATTGATGTCGGTCTTGGCAATTGCTTGCTGTTGAATGCCTTTTGAATACTTTTAGAACTTGTTCACAATTTAACTTTCCCGGTCCTCGCTTGCAGTCAGCCTGATCCCCTGGGCCTGGATCCTGAGTTGTTTCTTTGATTTAGGGGGTCTTGCACCGATTTTAAGGGACTAGGAGCAAAATTCTCTTCTCAAAAGTCTGTCGTTTGACATGTGGACTAAAATGGTATTGCTTTAGAGGTCGTGCCAATCATAATTTACACCACTTGCGAATCACGATCAGTACTTGAAAGAGTCATTCGCACGTGGTCTCTGATGCTTCTTTTCTTTGCAAGTCAACTTTACTTGAAGCTGAAGCATCCTAGTCGGTCCTCGATATTTAGTGTCAATGTCTATCTAGCCTTGAAGAGTCTCCCTACCCGACAGCTATCGATCCACCTCGTTACAGGTAGGTACTACACGGCAGCGTCTATAGGTATAACGAGGTGCAAGATGGTCTTGGCAGGTTTACGACTATGGCTCAAGGCGTGACGAATACGTATGACATCCCACGAATAATATGTGCTTGCAATCTGCTTGTACCCAGTATAAATACGATAACAGACATCCTTCACACGGCAGTCCAGGCTATCTCCTGCCGCAAATCTGAACATTGCATCTCGCGCTTTCACTCCAAGAGGCTGAAGATCCCTCAGACCGGGCCGTAGTCAACATGGTTTGAGAGACTCGAGTATAACATTGGGAAGGCTAGGGACCCTTGTTCCGGCAAGATGTGAATTCATACACCGTGACGCAACTCGGAGAGGTCCTGAGACTCGAGAGTTGGTAAAGATATTGAATATATCTCCATAAGCAAAGTATTTGACCGAAGACCATGGCCAAGGAACACAATAGAAGCGTATGGATGTAAACCTGACTCAAGAAAATTCCCATGGCAAAACAAATTCCTAGTATCCGAAAGCAGTTGAATACGGCGAACAATGGTAAGTAATTGGAAGCCTTACGAATCCTCCTCGATTTTCACGTAGCATGAGTCTATCAACGTCTTGCCATCTCTCGTGTACTGCTGATGGTAATCATCAAAACGTGACAAACAATCATTCAATTGAGGTCTGTTCGCACAAGAGTTTCAATCAACTCACGAATTCGCATTGGTGTATGTGGATCACAAATTTGATTTATCACGGCATCTTTCTCGTGGTCGTCTACTCTTGCTTTTCATCAGTGAAATTCGTCCGGAAGAGAAGGGAAGAGAAGCAAGAGAAAGCCTAACGGCGGCGGCGCACCACTCTGCATAGTTACAAAGAGGACCTCGACAATCAAGTTCGCGCCGCGAGTCCCATTCATGCAGATAGTATGAAGCCTTCCTCAGGCGAGACGTTCCAAATTAAAGCCTTTGTTCATTGTCATTTCCCGGTTCCGCGACAAAGGGTTGCATCGATGGTTAATAACTGAAAGTCCTAAATGACGAGATGCGCATACGTGGCTCCGGACAGGGCTACATAGCATCACTAGCATCTCCCGCGATTTTTGATTTGTTGATGGAAATTGCAACGGACCGACGAAATATGAGTTGGGCGATAAAAAGGTCACCGGTAGCATTTCTCGTGGTCTAAATTTCATGAACCGCAACCCCACAGCTTCGGAACAAGGCTTGAGCACGGGTAAATGGATGCGCAACCCGTGCTATAGCAGGCCGTCCAATCGCTTGTCCGTCAGAAGGACCCGAATCGGCTTCAACGGAGAAATGCTGTCGTATCTATCAGAATGGGGGTACTCACAATATGAAATAGCAGAAAGCGTTACGTACCTGAAGTTTCAGTCGCGTCCCTCCTGTTCTAGGAGACTATTCATGAGTAATTAGCTGGTTACGACGAGGCACCCGATTTGCTGAATGCATCGGGGTACAATTACAACGTCGCTCTAGCCTAGGCCTTAATACGGGGAGCGTGTATAAAAGGACGACCTGGACGATTATCTTTCTTCAGCATCACCATGTCTGCCCCAGAAACCAAATTCGCACCTACTCAATCCTCTTCCGTCCTCGGTGGACAGATCGTTGGCCGCTCTGAGCGCCAGGCTGTTGCCCCTCCCGCAGCCTTGAAGCTCCGTCTTGACCTTAACCTTGAGGTCGAGATTGCCATCCAGGCGAAAGTCAACGGTGACATCACCCTGTCGCTCCTGTAAGTCGAACTTTATCTTCGATTCGCCGAAGGTACTGAAGCTGATTGCTTGACATTTAGCCAGTAGATGTGCGATAGACCTGGAGAGTTGGGGTTGCATTGCATCAGCTGGATCGAGGTAAGGATCTGTTCTGCGACTTGGCAGTTTTTGTGCTAAAACTTGTGATACTAGAAATTGTCCGTATCTTTGTCGGCTGCGACTTTCCGGTCCTCTTCTGTTCCCTTACGTACACTGTATTAGTGTTTACGAGCGTTTATACCTATGGGATATCAATACCAGTGTTTTTTCGGGATCATAATTGCCGGTTTGAGTGAGCTTGGGATTCGTTGTATACGAATGGTCGCCGTCAGTGGTCCATGGTGAAATCAGTATTTGAAAGCGGTAGTGACGAATCACTCTTCCAGTCAAGCATGCGTGTCCTTGTTAGCACGAAGGACGCATGGATAATAGACGAGAGACAACTTATTTCTTGTACCATTTTTTAGCTCGGCATAGAGCAACCTGTGTGTCCTATAAAAAAGCATCTTTTCATCGCCGTTTCAAAAGGTGCCATGGAAAAGACTGGTAATTTTGTTCAAGGGCCCGAGTGAAACTCGCTGCAAGAACGATAAGAGACTCGAGAAGTGGATCAGGTATGGTTAACTCGGGTTGGGCAGGAAGGCACAGTGTATCGCGAGCAACACTACTCCATTGACACGAGGAAATACAGTTTTGTGGCGCTAGGTGAACACGCTTAGGCATCTCCTGATTTGCTGCCCTCTCAGTCATGAGGTTGATGTGTACGATACAGGAGCGCCTTTACTTGTTCCTGTCATCAGAAAATTGGCACCAAAGAGCCGGACTGGGTAATGATCACGTACGGTTGCCGTGAGTCGACCGCGTGGAATCGAGTAGATATCGCTACTGAATCCTAACTTCGTGAAGGTCCGGAACATCAGTACCTATGGCTGGGAGAAAAAATACCGATAACGGATATGTATATCATTCTCGAGCCAGGCAGGTTATAGCGCGTTTCACGCATGGTAAACTCGTTCAGCCCAATCGATTCGGCTTTGTAGAAAACCAAAAAATTTAATGCCCCAGACTGACATTGAGATTGTACCAAGTAAACGATTGAGTTTGACCTACACGCTAAAAGAAACATCAGACTTTCCCTACTAAGACTGTCACAGTCAGTCCAATTAGTTCACTAGAGCGCGGAGTCGATTTAAGACTGCATGTCAAGTATATCGGCCAGATTTTGGGTTTTGTCTTTCCGAGAATGAAGGAGTTGGTGCATGCAAAATATTTCTGCGGCACAGTGCGAAAGGTGTAATATGTGATGGTTCGTGCAGTGATTGTGATTGCCGGGTGCGGTCCATCAGGGCGGCAGCCACGTGCCGGACATGCTCTTTCATCGTTCGTACTCCGAAGAGGTGTCTGCAACAGCGTGTTGAGGGCGCTTACCTTGGCTTTATCTGAGGTGCAGTCTGCCACCATGTTTTCAACGACTCGAAAAGTCCTACAATTTCTCTTTTACTCTGCCATGGACTCCCTCAATCCACGCGTTCATACTGAACGTCCCAAGAACACTATGGTCTTCCACCCCGATCCCCATGTTGGAATACAAGCTGAAAGTCGGCGCGAAGCTAACTTGATGGAATGATCGATTGGCATCCTAATATGGTAACTATGTTCAACCAGTGTTGCACTCGCTCGTACTCTTGAGTACAGCTTCGTTTGTACTTATAGTAATTATTCCTTAGATACTTATGTTCCTATGATACTTAGCTATGCTATGGACTACGAAGTTTTATTTAAATAGGACTGTAATTTGGTACATTGAATAACATCTTCATTCACCATACTTGTGCTCAAGTGCCCGCTATACTAAGGATTTCAATACCCCATTGTTGCAAGCTTAGGAGATGGAATAATGCTGTCTCTTATCTCAGTGATTTAGCCGAGTACTGTCCCCACGGAGCCGGAGAGGCGCTCATCACAAAGGTCGAGTACATGAAGTCCTTGCGAGTTCCGAACCACGAGTTTCTCCTCTGTCATGTTAAAGACCCTTGAAATATCCGTGGCAGGGATACTGTTATCCGGATAGAGCGCTTCAGTGATAGTGCTCCCCCCTCTGAGCGGGAACCACGCACTGACAGCAACCTCCCCTCACTTCAACCCCCTGCAAAGGAGAGACGCCCCCTCGTGTCGGAGTCCATTTCGGACGTGAGTTCTCACAGCTCTTCGCCTTCTCTCTTTGGTCAGGCACTTGACATCCTTGCTATCTACTGCATGCCAGTCATCGAATTCAAAGACTATGACGTTCTCTCCACCTTGACTTTTAATGATGATTCAATGTTTGCGTCAGAGCAGGCTGCGGTGATGGCCATGGTTGCTAGTGATGCCGCTGACGAATACAGCGTTATCAGTCACCAGTGTTACTGGTATGCGCAGGCAATATTTAACATCATCATGGAGACACAGGTGGGGCAGTATACTAAAACACCGCTTGAGGACAATAAACACATGGGAAGGCGTGGAAATGTGAAGATAGTTAATGATGCGGCATCGAACATCTTCATACCCCCTTCTGATACCTCGAAACGGCTGGTCCATACTTATCTCGCAAAATGGCTCCAGTGGCAGGTGGATATTGAGGGGAGGAAAAAGGTATCTTGTCCTCTCCTTCTCGATGTTGGGATGGTACTGATTTTCGAATCTAGGAGAAGGATGCACCGTTGTGAAGGGAAGAAGCGGCTCGACGTGACGCGGAAGCCGTCGCTGAAAGGGAGAGACAAGAAAAGCTGGAGGCACGGAGAAGGGAAGAG